AAGGCGGTCAAGGAGTACCACCGTATGCTTACCTCGCAGTGCAAGGCCCAGGACATCATCACCCAGGCCATCGACCAGCGCATCCTCACGCATGTCATGCACAAGGCCTACGGCGCCAAGCGCGGCAGCTCCGTCTCGCTGTCTCTGGTTTTCAACACTCTCAAGGACCACTGCGTCGGCCTCTCCGGCACGTCCAAGGCCGCCTCTATGCTCAATCTCATCTCGCTCCAGCGCTCACACAGGGAGTGCAGCGCGCCTTCAATTCCATCTCGCACCTTCCCTTCAAGCTCGAGGATCTGATCCTGTTCATCTTGCTGCGCGGGCTCGGCGAGTCCTACTCCTCGCTCGTGCAGTCGACCATCAACGACCCCGCCAATGAGCGGCGCCTCGCTTCCGACGTCCTCGCGACCCTGCGCGAGAACCTCGTCGCCATCACGATGCTCTCCAACACCAACGGCGCCGCAGACAGGCGCAGCGTGAACGTGATCACTTACGGCGCGGACTCCAACCGCAGCTCCAACAACTCGCGCGGCGCGGCGCGTGGTGGGCGCGGCAACTTCGCGCAGGGCGGGCGCGGCGGACGCAACCCCCCGCCGAGCCGCCCCGCTATTCCATTCTACAAACAGGCCGCGCGCGACGAGCGCCCTCGCGACGAGCGCCCTCCTTCGTGCTACATGTGCAAGCTTCACAACCAGGCCTCGGACCACCACCCGCGCGACTGCCCTGCTGCTTCCTACTACGACATCCCCACGGTCAAGGCGGTTGACTTCGATGAGCAGACCCAGCAGCTGCGCAAAAAGTCATCGTCCTTTGTCAACATGGTCCAGGTCTCGCGCAACCCGTACGGCCCCGACACTTCTAACGTATTCGCTATCGACGAGACCTACTCGCCGCTCTCCACCCGCAAGCTGCAGAGCTTCCACAAGTTCAAAGCTGCTGCTGAGCTTGAGCGCTTCGAGTGCTCCGCCGCCTACATCGCTTCCTGCGCCAAGCCCTTCGAGCGCTCCGCCGTCGACATCCCCTCCAAGTTCATTGCCGGCAAGACCAAACCGCTCTTCAAGTTCATCGTGGTGATCGTCTTCATCTTCGGGTTCATCGCGACCATCTTCCTCTCGGCCATCGCAACAGCCAAGCCCTTCCACGCCTTCGCAATTGGCAACGGGCAGGAGATCATCAACTCAGGCGGCCTGGCACAGCTGACCGACTACTTCGAGATCTCCAAGGTGTACTCCCTCCTTGGCAAGGACTTCCATGACTCCCTGTCGCAGATGAGCGACTCGGGCCTCTTCGACTCCGGCTCGAGACTCAACTTCGGGTCGATGGACTACCTGCCCTTCCTGACCGACGTGCAGCCCACGAACATGCACGCTTCCGCTGCCAACTCCTCCAAGATGGTGTGCAAGTACAAGGGCAACCTCTTTGTTGGCTACCGCCTAATGGACAACTCGCTTGTGACGGCCAAGGTCGACAACTTCTACGTGCCCCCCGACGTCAAGCGGCTCATCTTCAATGAGTCCGACCTCTGCAAGCAATGGGACGCCGATCTCGTGAGCCTCTCCACGCAGACTAAGTTCTCCATCAACGGCTTCGACCTTGACCTCCAGCAGGGCCGCTACCTCATCACCCCGCAAGGGATCGCAGAGCTCAAGGACATGTGCATCATCATGGCCGTCTTCACAGCTACCTCAGACGCGCTCGTGGCATTCGTCGACACGGCTTCCCCTCCATCACCGGCCATCAACCAGACCGGCGACAAGGATATCGGCACCTCCAAGGACACGCTTGTCGGCCATGGCGACTCCGAGACCTGTTCGGACTGTTCACCCGGCGCAGCCGCTCGCCAACTTTCTCTCGACGACAGTTCCTCCTCAACCATCGATAAGCGCATCCTCCACGCCCGTTTAGGACACGCTTCGACCCGTAAACTCAACGCGACCATCTCGGCCACGGACGGGCTACTCACCTCTCGACGCCTCAAGCAGATCTGTCCAGCTTGCGCGGAGGGTAAGGCGATCAAGCTGACCTTCAACGACGCCCGTCACCAAACTGCACAGTCCTTCGACACCGTCAGCGTCGATAGCATAGGCCCCATCAACTCCCTCGAGTCCTTCCGCTCGAACGATCCATCGATGGGGTACTACTTCATGTTGTTCCTTGACCAGTTCTCCAACTACGCGTGGATCTACCAGCTCGAGACCAAGTCGCAGGCCCCCAATTTCCTCGACAAGTTTCTCGAAGACATCCAGACCTACACCGTCTCACTCGGCTCCTCGTTCGGCAATTTCGGCTTGACGGGGCCAAGGAGTTTGACTCGGCACGCTGGAACGGCATCCTTCGCACCAACGGCATCGGCGGGTCCGAGGTCACGCCGGCAAGGACTCTCCAGCTCAACGCGCACGCAGAACGCTACTTCGGCACCATCGCCCGGGACGCGCGCGCACTACTTGCTCAAGCCGGCGGCTATGGCTCAGGTCACCCCCGGACAGCTATCAAGTGGGCGAAGATCATCTTACCGAGATGAGAGCATTCCTGACGGGATACGCCGAAATTTGGAGTGTTTATTGGTCAGGCTTAACGAGCTCTATTTTATGCATCTTTCAGAATATCTTAAAAGCTTCATGGGCGAGCCAGGGATCAATAACTAACGCGCACCGATTTTAAACATGTTTCGAATCGTTTTTAAAACCATACTCGTGCTCTGGATCGCTCCACAGGCCAGAGCCGCTCGCTGTGCTCGTCGGCAAAAGCGCTGATGGCCTCCTTGCGCGCTTGTGCAATGAGGACAACGTGCACTCCACGGAGACGTGGGGATGCGCAGCCAAGCGCGAGTACCTTCAGGTGTCGCTCAGCTGCTGCCGGGCGGTGGACCCAACGAAGCGGATGCAGCTCAAGTGCAGTACCTCGGCTGTGCGCCCCACGCTGCAGCATGCGATCGTGCAACTCGTCAACGCGAATCTCGTAACGCATCGCTGCCGGGTGCAGCTCGAGCCCGAGTCCGCGCCGCCCGAGCTGGTGCCGCGCTTGTCGCGCGCGCGCTCGGAGCCGGCCGAGACCGAGCCTCCGCCGCTGTGCGCGCGCCCGAGTCCGTAGAGGCGAAGCGCGGGCGCACCGATGATGATGCAGACGACAACTGGACGACTTGGGACCTGCGCGAGTTCACTCGGCAAGAACAAATCTTCCATGCGCGCGTCAGGTGCCGATCGATGCAGAC